ATTATTTCTACTTGTTTTAGTTTATTTACTCTTAATCAGTGAAACGTAAATGATATTGGCTAATAACACTCTTATTAAGTGTGATGTTAGGTGCCATCACGGTCCCAATGGTGAGAATTCCGGGTCGTAACAATATACAAGTGAATTAAAGAAATAAACCTGCAAATTTTCAGAACTTGAAAATAAGAGAAGTAGGTAGTCCTTCATTTTCACTATTGGTAGTTGCTGAAGTACAAATCAAATATTGGTGTATCCTGTGAGTGATACGCCATCTCACTATTTACCCGATATTGACCCCCTATCTTATGGAGTACGCGCTCCAGTTGTCCAGTCATGGGCGTCATGGGTGTGCTGAGAGTGTTGTGTCCCACATCGGCTCAACATGGGTAACTTGGACTCCTTATATGATCTTGGATATTCCTCACCTCTGAGCTAGCTTTTGAGTCTTATGGAACAAGCGCCGTTCAACTAACATCTTCTAGATTGAGAATTCAGTAAAGAAAAGAACTAAACATAAAGATGCCGCATTCACTCTCTCTCAGTACTTCACAGCCAGTAAAGGTCCAGAATTGGTGAAACTTTTCAAGTAGTATGCATGTTATGTGAAAGTACTACTTCTTAACCTTTAGATTCTTTTTTCGAAGTTAGAACAGTGGAAGCACAATTTTGTTGACAAAACAAGATCTACTGCTACTCAACTTATTCTGGTCCTAATCAACAGAGGGTAAATAGTTAAGTTTCTTAAATCTGATGTCAGGAAAGAACTTTGCAACCAAAAGTCTACTCTCATCTGCAGGCCGTCTTGCAAACTGGCCATTAACAGTCCTCTCGGAGGACAATAGAGCAATGAAGGGTCAGCTTCTTTACATCTATATGATTTTTGGATTTGGCGTTGCGTCTTATACTCCGTCTCAAACTGTTAAGTTCTCAATGCAGAAAAGCAAATAAGCTAAATGGTTTGAATAAAGACATGGCTAGAACATATATAGATGATAACTTGTTTGCTGTTAAAAAATAATCATCTTATGTTATCGTCCTTAAGTAACAATAAAAGAGTATAGGTAGGTAGACTCATGGACTACTTCCTTCCGGCAATGTGATTAAGCATGCGCCTGAATCATAGACCATATCCGTACCACAACTGAAAAAGATTATAGCAATGGTTAGACTATGGAGATATAGATAAAGTAGAGAATGTTGATAAGGTTCCTTAAAAGACAATTTTGGACTTACTTTGCGCATTTCACTTTGTTGGTGTTACCTCCACTAGACACAGATAATATGGTACCAAAGAAGGAAGTGTTTTCTGTTCCACAGTTCGGACAGGGGCCCTAAAATTTAAGCTTATCATGCATTAGTTTCAAATAGATACAACCTTAACATCATCATAGAAAAAGCTTATGAACTTATACCTTCAAGATCAGAAACCTTTAATGATAGCGTTTGTAATTGTAAAGGATAGCCACAATATGAAGGGCAAAGCAGCGAACCACGTGAAAATGAAACTGAATGGCTCTGGAAGCTGCAAATATGTGAACCACAGTGTATCTTTTAGTTTTGGAGAGAAAGAAAAGGGATCAGAGTCAATTATTTCCAGGAATGGCAAAGAACCATTAAGACAAGCACAAACAATCATAGACAGACTAAGAACTAATGGACAAGGAACCAGTTGAATTCTAGACTAGAACTAGTCCAGAATTTCTAGTTTCCAACATGTGCCAATGAGTTTTCTGTCACTAAAAAGGCTTGACACAATATGGCATTGTGTTTCACACACACATATGACATCTGAATTGGCAACCTGTAGACAGGTCATAGAATGCATATTTCATTTTCCTTTGCATGCATATGCAACGGTGACAAAAATACGAAAATTGGTTAGTGCAGAACAATGGAGATCAACTGTGATCATATGGAAGAAACCTAAGGTCATTAAAATGAATACAAGTATGCCATCACATATGCAGACTTTGCACAAGAGTAGTAGTAATTGTTAACTCCTCTCATAAAGATTAGGCGTAGTTACCAAATACCAACACCACTGGTTCTTCGAATCCTTTTGAGAAACTAGTTTGAACTCCTAACTTACCATATATTGCCTCGATTAATCTATTCAAAGACATTAATTCTCCTAAGCTATATCAATCCGTCCAGAATGACCTTCCACGTTAGTATTATCACATGCTTTGAGATCTTCCTAACTTCCTGCCGCTTTGCTAAAGCTAATGAACATTCGCAACTTTTTGACTAAGCTACTGCAGAATATTCTGCACTTAATCACTTTGACTAGGAGAAAAAGAGAAGAACCAGGCAAGGGAATGATATATATTTACCTCCAAAAGATAGGTGATCTCAAATCCAGTGATATCATCCAGGAAGAAGAACCTGTAATACAGCAGCCAAATAAACTGTATTAAAGAAAATCGGGAGTGTTGCTTTATGAGCTAACAACGCAAACAAATTGTGCTATCTTTTTGCCTTTCCTTTTTTTGACACGAAGTGTGAAGATCATCAAGACACAAGCAAGAAAGTTTAAGAATGAACTTATAAAATTGATGGAAACATTAGGGTCAGGCAGAAAAAACGTTGTAGACCCTCATATGAGATAGCACCTAGCAGTGCTGCAACTATTGGACAGTGGTCATTAGTGTTAGGCTAAATCGGCCTTAAGATATTTTTAACATAGTGTGGTATAATGCACCTTAGGTCAAGACTGTATGTTTTTTTCCCTAAAAGCATCACACAACTAATATTATCCAACATCTTATAAGTAATTCATTTTTTTTTGTACTTTTCATGTGGGACTTTGTTCGCACATACCCAATAATTAGTCTACCTAAAATATAATTGAGAAGTAAAAATATTTATTACATCATAGTAAATTAATCTAAAAGAAACATAATTTTACTAGGCTTTTACTCCCTGTGATAGGAATGGCATCAAAACTGAAGTACAAATCAAATATTGGTTTCATACACAGTATCCGGTACTTGTATTGGAGCCCGGACTAATCCGAATTCACGCCGTATAAGGCCCATTAAAGGAGGATGTGCTCCCTACCTGAAATTTTTTCATTCCTAAGGCTTGAAGCCAACCCTGGGGGTAACGAAAGAACTTTGTTAACATTTGCTAAGAGGCGCAACAAAAACAATGGGCAGGGAAACTATTCTAAGGACATCCATTGAAAGAAGTAAGGAACTTTCTGCCCACAAGGCTCATTCTAGATGAAAGTGCAGGCACGTGGGGGTAGCTAGTGTATCTATAATTTTGTTATTGCATGGATAGTCTGAGACATCCCAACTGAAAGCTACAAAGTTTACCATTTATTGGTATCCCATGTTTGTGAAACATCCCAACTTCAACAGCTTATGTGAGTGATGAAATTATTAAGTAGTCAAAATGTGTAGTCACAAAGACCTATCAAATATTAGTCTAAGGCAGTAACGGAGTAAATCTACAGGTTACTTGTCAGTTGACTGTCCAAAGGATAGGGAAAAAAGAAATTCAGTTGTTTGAATCCAAACTTAGAAACTCAATAACCACAGAGAATTCACAATACTAAATATGATTTGGTGCAAAGGAAAATCTGGATAAAAAATCTTTTTTTAAAGCCTGCTTCAAGTTCATATCAATGCATAACACCAACAAGTGCAACAATGCAGCACCACAAGAGAGGGAGAACAAGGAGAGTCTTGTCCATCCCATTTGCCTGGAGATGATTTTACGACATCCAAGACAAAGTTCACAAGAAAAAAGCAGAAAGAATCAAATTCAACAATTGCAATGACAAAGAAACTACACAAAGTACTTTTGGAAGCAAGGTATAAGTTCAAATATAAAGCAACTAGAAACAAATTTATATAAGATAGGGAGAGTCACCTCAACATTTAAGAATCTTCCACGAGGGACTCGTATTTGCTATTTGACCTTGGGATAGAAGAGAAGGTACCTGGGGAGAGAGAAGACGAGAGCAGATAGTATGGATTCTCAATGACGAAAGATGCTTCAAGGTTCAAGCTGTTGTTCACACAACTTGGTGACACATTCGACCTCATGCACTGTTTGGTGAACTTCCCAGATTTGGAAGTGCACAACACAGCAAAAATGAAGTCAAACTTTATGCATAATACACCTCCATCCTGCAGAAAGTAATACAGAAATGCACTGTCTGGGGATATTCTGGTGACTGTTTATTTCAGCACCAGTATTAGAGATGCCTAGCCACCTGTCGATTCTTGCTCATATTGACAAACCTAACTCGTTACTGACTCATAACTCTTTCGAACAAAATTTCTCACGAGTATGTACCATGTGACATTATTGGGAATGAAACCAACAGCTATGCCTCTAGTAAGCAGGGTATAAGCATCATCAAGCATGTGCATTTTACAAAAGGAAGAAATCAAGGTGTTATAAGTGAAAGTATCAGCACAAACTCCTTCAACTTCTAATTTTTCGAAGAGGTTGTGAGCTTCTCGAATTCGACCATTGTTACAAAAGCCATTTATTAGACTGTTATACGTGACTATATCAGGTGTCAATCCACGATGTACCATGTCTCTCAGAAACTCAAGGGCATTTTGAACCTTCCCTATTCTACAAAAGCCGTTGACCAAGATGTTGCATGTTACATGATTAGGTTTTATTCCCTTTGTCAGCATTTCTTCAAAAAGTCCAACTGCTCTCTCAATTGCTCCATCATTGCAAAGTGCTTTTACGAGGCCATTGTATGTGATTTCATCAAGGGGACATCCTCTGAATAACATATCATTCACAAGCTTAAGCGCCTCTTGGGTTTTACCTTTCCTCAAGAAAGCATGAATCAATGTGTTGTAGGTAACTGTATTGGCAATAACTCCCTCAAGGAACATATCTCTATACAACCCCAATGCTTCACCCATCATGTCTACCTTGCAAAAACCTGAAATCAAAGCATTGAATGTGAAAATGTCTGGTTTACATCCTTTGCTTGACATATCACCAAAAATTTCTAATGCCTGTTGAATCATTCCTTGTTTACACAAAGCTGATATAAGAGAGTTAAAACCCACTATATTTAGGCTGAGACCTTTTGCTGACATCTCAGTAACAAGGTCATAAGCTTCCTGTAGACGGCCAGCCTTGGAGAAGCCATCAATCAAGGTTGCGTACGTGATCACATTGGGCTGGCAACCTTTGGATGACATTTCTTTTACAACTTCATGAGCCGAAGACAAAGATCCCTTCTTGCAAAGACCTCGAATCAGAATGTTGTATGTATAAACATCTGGTTGATAACCTTTAATCAACATGTGCTCATTCAGAATGGTTTTTGCTTCATCAAACCGCCCATTAGTCACATAGCCATTAATCAACATATTAAAGATGATATTATTCTGTTCAGGTGCTTTGTTGAGAAGAACCCTTGCTTCATCAACTCGCCCTGTTCGACATAAAGCATGCATCAGAAAGCCATAAGTTATAGCATCGGGGGTGAAACCTCGGAGAAGCATCCGATCCACCAGTTTTGCAGCCTCATGAATCCTATCAGCTCGACAAAGCCCATGGATAATATCATTGAAAGTATTGATGTCGGGTATGCAACCCATAAGAAACATCTCCTCCAAAAGTTTCAATGCATCATTTACCCTATCAGACTTTGAAAGTGCACGAATAAGAATCTGGTAAATCACTGAATTTGGTACACACCCATGTTTTGTCATGTCTCTAAGAAGTGAACAAGCAGAGTCTACCTCATTGACTATACATAATGCTTGTATCACTCGAGAAAAAGTGAATACAGAAGGAGAAATACCTTTCCCTAACATTTCATAAAACACATTCGGAGCAACTTTTGGACAATTTTCAGCCAACAGAATATCCAATACTTGATTGTATGACTTAAATGTGGGTTCACAAGAGAAAGTATTCCACATATCCAATAGTATTCTAGTTGCCTGCCCTGGTAAACCAGCTCTTCCATAATGCTTCATTATCACAATAAAGAGGGACTCTTTGAAAACTACCCCTTCATCTTTCATCTGTAATAACAATCTATCTATAATCTTAAATTCCTTGGCAGCCCCAAGTTTGTCAATCAAAGTATAGTAGACATCAAATGAGTGGCAGTAGCTCGTCTGGCTACCGGCCCACTGGAATAGCTTCATCGATGTTGGTACATCCAAAGGCAGTGCCAATAATTTATTGAGCTGATACGGGGTAATTTTATTAAGTGATCTTCGGAGTTGCTTGAGGTTAAAAGGCTTAAGCAATATTTCCCATTCATTCTCGGACTCCGACCCACCACTGCCTTTAGTGTTACCACACTTGTCATCAGTCATACTAGTACAAAATGCAAAAGAAGGGTTCTTATACAGAGTTCCTAGCTCTTCACGTATGTGAATCAAAAGTTTCGGCCTTTTCAGCATACCTTCAAATGGGCAGTGCAGAAATTTCAGAAACTAGCCATTATATGTTATTCAGATACTTATTCAAGAATTGCCATGATAGCTTCTCCAATTTAGTTTATGAATAAACCCATGTTAGCTCCATATTGTAAGCGAAGACATTTCCTTTTCCTAAAACATTCAAGAATAAGATATAAAACCATCAGTACAAAAACAAAAACCAAAGACATATATATTAATAGAAATGGTGGACACAGGAATTGAGGTCCACTAAACCACAGAAACTTGCCAGTCATAACAACGTAAAACCGAACAATATAAGTTAAATATAAATAAAAAAACAATTGCAGAATAACAATTTATTAGTATCAAACTATCATTCCGAACATAATTTACTTCACTATCGTTCGAACGAGTTTTTGTATAGTGAAAACAATCTATAGTATCAATCTATAGTAAAATTCAATTCAGTTCACAAATCACAATTTTTCTTAATAATGATTCACAAATCATAATTCAAAATCAAATTTTAAGCCGAATCAATTTACCAATCCAATTCAATTCAAGTTCAATCACAATTCTCCATAAATTCGAGATTCTAAGAGACAAAGGAAAACTTGTTGATTTCACCAAAAACTTAACGTGATGACTGAAAATTCACAGCACATTCCCGCCTAGAGTTTTTCTTTTCTAGCAAAATAGCATCTCGGTAAGGGAAAGCTTCAATTTCAAGCATAATTCATTCTTCTTTCACACAAAAAATAGCGAAAACAGAGGATTTCCCAAACTCTTGTTTCCACCAATTCTGATGCCATTCCTAAGCTAGTTTGAGATTATTGTGCGGCAATGATTTATGGATAAAGGATTATGGGGAAGATGTTATGAATTAATACTTATTTAAAGATAGGCCAACTTATGAATTCATTTGTATTGGGCCGATGGACTTAAACATCCGGACCAGATGCAGTCCTTTTTCGGTGTCACCCCCCACAATTCAGCACGTGAAAGAACACATTACCAACTAATGCCTAAAGACCAAAATTTGTGTCAGCCCAATTCTTCTCAATTCTTAGATATACACTACGACGCAAACTCAAAGTAAGACTAAAGGCAATATAAATCAAATTTTGATTCTCTTGTTAAGCAATGTTCAAGCCTATTGCTCATTAATTCCAACTCACTGCCATGACACACTAACACTAGAGAAATCTCTAATAACAACATTTGAACTTAACTCTTTCATATCATTATTCCAAGTTCAAACATGAATGATTCATAAAGCAAAACAGAAACATATTAATGAAGCAAAAATATGAACCCATTTAGATCTAGCTACTTACAACACAAATGAAACAACGTAACTCATAGACATCAACATTTAATATGACCTGATTAACTTTATCATGCTGTAATTCATAGAACAAATAGAGTAATGAGAAAAGAGTAACAAAGTGAGCTAAATAACAAAAGAAGAATGAAGAAACGTGAACCTTTGTTGCTGAATTTGCTTCGTATGGAAAGGAGCGTGCACCAAAAGAAACAGAAACACTCAAACAAGCTACTGATTGGCACTTCAAACCGGCGACGGAACCTCGACGGAAAATCGCGACTTGCGACCTTGCAAAATCGGTGAATTGGTGGCTGTTTTTTGCTGGTTTTGGAGCTTCTTTTGGGCTGTTTTTTGGGACTGTTTGGTGGCTATTTTTGCTGCACTTTTGGGGTGAGATTTCAGCTGGTTTGAGGTATTTTCTGGTGGAAGAAAGGAGCTGATTTTTGGTGGTTTTGGGGGTTATTTTCAGCTGAGTTTTGGAGGTTTTGGTGGAAGAAAGGGTTGTTTTGGTGTGTTTTAATGGAAGAAAACAGAGGTGGATAGTAGCGAAAGGCTGTGTTCACTGGGTAAAACTAACGGAAGGAAGATGAAATTGAAGAAGAGAAGGCAGCAACCCTTTTTCGTTCCTTTTTCCTCTTTTAATTTCTTTTAAAGAATAACAAACAAAATTAAAATAGTATCCTACTAAATTAAAATAGTGAGGTAAAATGTTAACTAACTATGTACCTAGAACAATATAAGAAATTACTGAAAAGACTTATAAAATACTAACTTATCACAAGAAAAAAGAAATTGTGAATATGTTTTCTTTAATTTGTACTACATCATGTATCACATTAAACTAGAAGTTTACAAATACAAAAATAGCTATACTAAATCAGAAATTTGCTGATGCAAAAGTTTGTACCACAGTAAACCAGAAGTTTACTAAGACATAGCACATGCCATGATAAACTTGAAGTTTTCATTTGTTATTTTTATTATTTTTAAATGAGCTATTTGAGAATTCAGATAAACATATACTGAAGAAGTAGAAGATTCTTGAATAATTCTCGTGTGTTGCTTATTCTCATAATAAATTGATTATACCAGGTAAAGTTGGGACTAAGACCCCTGAATTCTGGAATATATAAAAGGTGAATATGGGCCTATTCGCCTATCATGTGATCCACTTATAAATGTATATATAGATGGCTACATGTGTGTTTATTGTCAACCTGCAGTTTGGCATTTGAAATTGCTTTTCTCAATTAAGAGCATAACTTTCAGATTATGAAATCAAGACAGTTCATCTTGATAATGCTAGTTTATATCCAAGCTGGTTCAGTATTGAATACCTACTATTAATGGCTAAACTATTGCTTATGAGAATAAAGCTTCATGTGTTGGTCTAAGATTTTCTAAATTGCATATATCAGCACTTGTATGCATCAGACTAACAATATCTGATAAGTCCTCCCCTCACAATTAGTTTAGGATCAGAAACCAAATTTTTGTACTATCTAATAACTTTTGATGTGTAGTATATGATTAATTTCTCTACCACAATGCACAAAGATAGGTTTCTCAAAGAAGATTGGGGATATATGTTAGTTTTTCTAACATTTGGGGGATGGAATAAACAGCTGAAAAATATGCTATATGAATCGAATTATCATTAATATGATCCTCACTTAGAATATAATTCAAGCCAAATGCCAGAAGCATTTGCTGATCCAAAATTAAATATCATATTTCAGCTGCAAATGCTCCTAATTAAATTAAAGTCCCTGAAGGATAAAGTTTATTGCACGCATGAAGCGTAGTAAACCAGTCGGTTCCAAAGGTAACAATCCTTGAAAAATGATAGGAGAAAATGATCAAAATGATCATAATGAGGATGAAATGAGCTCTAGAAGAGGCCACGACATAACATTTCATGAAACTCCAGAAGAAGTTCAAGTACCTGAAAATAAAGAAAGTGATGAGATCTCAACAAGTTATGTTGCTTAGGAACCGATACAAAATGATCGTCGACGATATATTTGATATAGTATAGTGCACAATATTGTAAAAGATTATGAGGATCGGACCTGTAGTCCAGACACCTGAAGATGTCATGCCATTTAAATGCAAGTCATAACCTATATGACTCATTTGATTAAATCTATATGAAGATCCTTGAAGGATTTAAAATGCTTGAAGCATATACTTCAAAGTCTCGAGAAATGTACTCGATCAAATTACAAAGATCTTTGTACGGTCTAAATCAATCTGGGCGCATGTGATATAATCGCCTCAACGAATATTTGCTGAAAGAAGGTTACATAAATGATGTTATTTGTCCATGTAATTTTATAAAGAAAATGGCATCAGAATTTATTATACTTATTGTTTATGTTGATGAAATAAATCTTGTTGAAACTCCAGAAGAGCTCCAAAAGGCAATCGAATATCTTAAGAAAGGATTTGAGATGAAAGATCTTGGAAAAATAAAATTTTGTCTTGGTCTACAAATTGAATATTTAGCAGACGAGATCTTTATCCATCATGCCTATACAGAAAGGGTCTTTAAACGCTTTTACATGGACAAGCTCTCCCATTAAGTACACCAATGGGTGTTCAATCACTTGAGGTGAATAAGGATCCGTTCCGATCTCTAGAAGAGGATGAGTAACTCCTTGGTCCTGAAATACCCTATCTCAGTGCAATTAGTGCACTTATGTATCTTGCTAATGCTGCAAGGTTCGACATAGCAGTTTCTATTAATTTACTAGCAAGATATAGCTCTTCTCCTACACCGAGACATTGGAATGGGATTAAGCATATTTTGCGATATTTAAAGGGAACTCTTGATATGGTTTTTTTTATGCTAACAAATGTAGTGCAGATTTTGTTAGTTATTGCAGATGCATGTTATTTATCTGATCCCCATAAAGCTCGATCTCAAATTAGATACGTGTTTACATATGGAGGTAATGTCATATCATGGCGCTCCAAAAAGCAACCTATTGTTGCTACTTCTTCAATGTTGAGATAATAGCTATTCATGAAGCAAGTAGTGAATGTATATGGTTGAGATCAGTGATTCATTTTACTCAAGAAAAATGTTGTTTGGAATGTGCAAAAAGATCCACAATTTTATATGAAGACAATGTTGCATGCATGGCCTAATTAAAGGGCGGATTTATAAAAGGAGATAGTATGAAGTACATTTCACCAAATTATTCTACACACATGATCTTCAGAAAAATGGTGACATTGATGTACAACAAATCTGTTCAAATGACAATCCGGCAGATTTGTTCGCTAAATCTTTGCCAACTTCAACTTTTGAAAAGATGGTATACACGATTGGAATGCGGATGCTCAAATATTTGAAATAAGGTTTTCATCAGGGGGAGTGAAATACGCGTTGTACTCTTTTTCCCTTACTAAGATTTTTCCCATAGGGTTTTTCTTATAAGGTTTAGTGAGGCAGTTAGAAATGCGTATTACTAAATATGTGTTATTTTAACGAGGCACATTATCTTTTAATGAACATCCAAGGGGGAGTGTTATGAAACTATTATGTTGTGGATGTTCATTTATTACTCCGCTATAGATAATCTTCCTGAAGAAGATTATCTATATAGTACTCTGTTGAATTTTATCTACAAGCAGTCGATGCAAGCAGGTTGCAAGCAACTCAATGAAATAATTTGCAGCAGCTTCTTATTAAACAAGCAGGTTGCGAGCAGCTCATGCAGACAACTTACAAGGGACTCAAGAAAAACCTCACAGCTGCTTCCTGAAAAGCCTCGCAGCTGCTTCATTTCTTCTATAAATAGAGGAGTTTTCAGTTCATTATGTACATCAGTTTGAAATTGAATAATATATCAATCTCTCTCTATACTTGTCTTTGTAAATGAAAATATTTTTTTTTTGGTAATTAAAATTTTGTTTACCAGTAATATTTACATATTGTTGTGTCCAAGCCTGATATGGACAAAAGCCCTAGATTCAGCTATTCAACTAACCTTCCTTATTACTAACTGCTATACTATTCCCTATGTTTCAATTTATGTTAACCTATTTCCTTTTTAGTCCGAGCAAAAAAGAATGACTTATTTCCTTATTTGGAAACGATATACCTTTATACAATGATTTATCGCCACACAAAATATATGTGCCTCATTTTACACAACAAGTTCAAAAGTCTTCTCTCTTTTCTTAAACTTCATGCCCAGTCAAATAGATTTACGTAAATTGAATCGGATGGAGTACTATTTAACTATCTAATTGAACAGTAGGATAGTAGTTAAGATCCATCAATCTTCTCTGTAGCCTCAGCTTAGAAGCTCATCGACCATGCACATCTTGTGTTATTAGTCTACTAAGTATCGCTGCTGATCATTGCTTTGCTTGAAAGATTCTGCCATACAAGCAGCCTGCAAGTGTTAACCTGTATACTTCAACTTTTGTGTTCTTTCCCTTGTAATGTCTCTCAGCCCATGCTATCTCATTTGCCCATGGCATCACCTGTCTATGTATCCTTTGCCACTGTAACAGTGTTGTACACACTCGTGATGAATAAGAACAATTATAGAAGAGATGATCAATGGATTCTTCTTCTGTATTGCAGAGTGAGCAAGTCGTATCTTCTAAACAGCCCCATCCCCTCAATCTATCCTTAGTTAATAGTCGTCTATGAGCAGCCAGATATAGTAGGCAACCCAGCATTATTGCACACCAGTTTCCTCCATGACACTTTAGAAAAGTCTCCTCTAAGCTGCATATACCTGGCTTTGATGGAAAACTTTTCCATTCCCACTACATCTTCGTCTACATATCCAGCTTCCTCAAAGTAGTTCTTAGCTTTCAGTATGTTTGCACAATCCAAGAGGCTTGCTTTGGTTCAGCACTCCACAATGAGTTATGCTTCTTATAGTAAATGTGAATCCATTGCACCCACATCTTGTCCTTTTTCTTGCATAAATTTCATAGGAGTTTGCAAACAGCTATTCAATGTCTCTACATCAAGTAAGTTCAAACCACTTGTTGCTTTAGGTTGCCATAGTTTGTCCCACGCCAGTAGTGCTTCTTTGATACCTCCACCCCTCCAGTCCATAGGAATCTTCGACACACACTTTCAATAAGTTGGATCAGTTTCTTTGACAGCAGAAAAACCTGGGACCAGAATACTTGAATAGAAAAGAGAACACTTTTAATGAGTTGTATTCTCCCTACATATGACAGAAACCTTGAAATCCAAGACTGGATTCTCCATAACATCTTCTCAATGAGAGGCTGGCATTGAACTAATGATAGTCGTTTGGCACTTAGTGGCACTCCCAAGTATCTAACTGGTAATGTCCCTTTTGAAAAGCGGAAAAATTGCAATATCTCCTGTTGCATGTCAGCATTTACTCCACCAAAGAAAATAGAGCTTTTGCCAGCATTAGCAATTAATCCTAAAGCCTTTGAGAAATCCTGGAAGCACTTACACAACAATTGCACAGATATGGTATCTCCTCTACAGAAAAGTAGTAGATCATCAGCAAAGCTTAGCTGAACTATGCTCATTTTGGCACACTTAGGATGGTAATTGAAATTAGGATCCCTTATGAGTGTTTTCAGTAGCATGGTCAAGTATTCCATAGCCAGCACAAATAG